CCACAATGAAACAGACAATAAGTAGAGTTCACAATATGCACTGCGTGTATTTAAGTTAGGAATCAATTTCGCGTTTGTCAAGCACTGATATTTTTAGGGAAGCTTTCAATCACCATTTCATTAGAATCCGTTTGCTAATCAGACAGTAGGAGACTAAGATGTGAGTCTTACATTAACAACCATTTGATAGTTTCAGCGCTGAAATTCCAGAAATTTTTCGAATTCTTGAACATAAGGTTTATACACAGAAGTGTACTCATTGAGTAACCTCATTAGTAAAAGTCCAATCCCGGTCATAAGCTGTATAAATCATATATCTAGCTTCAATCCTTTCAAACAAAACACATTTTAATAGTTGAATTCTATAGTTAATCTAAGCTAGACCACCACTGAGTACTGAGAAGAATTGGACGGCCCCTTCGTCCTAATCTGGAACTCCTAAGCTCTGCACACCCACGATCCCGCACACAGGACTCGAATCTAGAATTCTCGATCTCGCGCGAGAACGCTTAGCCTCTAGACCACTGAGCCGGCATCCAACAGTGTTAGTATCTAACTTCAATCGATCCATGATCTTACGCAACCCTTCATCTATTGTCTGTGCTTCCAGGTTTTCAATGGTGTTCTAGTTTAGATCATCTCATGAATTCAACTATTAAAATTATTACAATCTACACAAATCCCTATTCTGATAAGAAATAAATTTCATAATAGATCTAAACATTCTACGATTTATCACAAAATATATAAAACAGCTTACAATTAGAACAAAACGGACAGTAACTTACCTTGCAATGTGTGATTAGAATTATCTTGACCATCATTCAGATGAAAGAAACTGATTAACAAGTGTATTACTATTATGTCTATCGATGTTTAAGAGTATGTTATTCATCTGCAGTCAAGTCAATCCATGAACATCTTCATTTGGAGATAGATGTACAAGAAACTTGACAATACTCACAGTTAATTATGCACTTCAAAAGGGAATAAATGAGTAAAAATACATGCAACAACTACGAAACCTAGTAGTACGGACAACATTATATGCACCAACTAAGAAAGTTTATTGAACAATGGGTACCAATAACACTATAGAAAGTAGGATTATAATATCCAACGCAGAGTCGGTTATCATATCTATAAAATCATATTCTTTCACAAATGCATAAATTTTTTGCAGATTATTTCAAATTGATCATCGATGACATAGAACCTTAACAAACCGAAAATCAGCATTTCTGACTATTTCAAAATAGATATAAATGTTTACATGCAAATATTATTTCAGTATCCACTTATCATTACGTTATTTCAGAACAAAGAAATAAGCTTCCATGTTGCACAGAATATTTGACAATGAAAGCTAATTACTTTACTTTAGACGAGTTAAAAGAAACAAAAATGTGCTACACTTCTAATAAGCTGGCAGACCAGCAAGTTGTAACTGTATTGTGCCAAAATATTATCAATGAGTGAATAATCTATTGGAATAAGTTGTCATAAAAACACAAATAAACTGTTCACCTTTAAAGAACATTTCTTATGAAATTCTACAAAATATTCGTTGTAATACATTTAGCAATTTAGGTCAAGCTAGCATTTTTAGATAGCAATGAAATACATTGTTTTTTTTGGAAATAGTAAACATCGTTGTTAATTTACCAAATATCATTTGCAAAATACGTTTTATGCTAACACTATCTGGGATTCTCGAAAAAAAATACAGTGTCGAAGTAAACATTTTGGCATTTAAAGAGAGCAAATAAATCAAAATATGTGCAGGTGACAAGGGGTAAAGTCATTCAGTATATTAAAAATCCAATATTACAACGAACATTGTATAAAAAGTACACAATCTTGGCATTTAAATATATCATAAGCAATTATGTTAACCTTGTAGAAAAATAAAAGGTTAATGACAGTGCAAATATAACTTGACTTTGGAAAAAGTGAAGCGAATTGTTACAGGAAAACACTTCAACTTCTATAATTAAAAAACCATATAATTCACCGACAGTTTTCTTATTCACGATTTTCTTCACCCTCATTTCTCAAATGTGAACTCGTGCTTTCGAAAACAGGAACCTCTAAAGCTGAAGGTGTACTTGACACTGAAGAATGATCAAATACATCTGGATCATAAACAGTGTGATGCTGTAGTGAGTCCTAATAAAAGTCGAAAGTAGATGAATCAGGATTTTAATTTTGATACTATGATAATTAAAAAGTCAAAATTATGAATTTTGAACAGCCGATAATATACAAATTTCAAAAGTAAGATTTTATTTTTCGTTTTCATATTGAAGAACATTATAGAAGAGAAAAACAAACAATAGAAACGAAGATAAAACTAGCCACTACCACTAACTGCTTTTGGTTATAAACTATACTTTCAATAACTTCAGTAGAGTAGTAAATGAACCTGTCATTCTGTTAAAAAAACAACTTAGTTTTTGAATTATTAATAGCTCGTTCTTGGTGATTGTAAAGCAAAGTAATATTTTTTTATCAATAAGATGAAAATATAAAGTATCGGCTTTTGAAAACTATGGTGGCTTATTTAATTCAGATTGTAGATATGGGTAGTGTCTGGCTCTCCTGCAAGTGGGATTGAGCTTTACTGCTCGGGTTAAGCCTGGGCGATGTTTGACTCTCCTGTTAAACGGGATTGAGCCGTACTATTTAGGTTGTCACGTGAAGGTCTGGATGATGTCTGGTTCTCCTGAAAACCAATGTAAAATTACCCTCACCAACAAGGGTATATTATATAATTGTATATATGGTACTGACAATATTGGTTGAAATAAACGGTTTTCAGTACACGGGATTATATAAGTATACATACATCCATTTACATCTATTTACTTCAAAAATCTTCTTTCAAAATAATGACACCTTGTAAAAATATTTATTCAGTTTTTGAGCAATTTAGTTTTTTGAATATGATAACATTTTGGTTCATTAAAAACTCGACCTGTTCAAATAAATTATCCATATCTTGCCAATTAAAATTTGGGAATTTCATAACATTTTCTTTCCCAGAAGCACTCACAGGTTTGAATCATTTATTTTTCACACGAACTGGTTGCTAGATGGAATCGATCAACGTACTTAATTCTAAAGCAGTAAAGGAAATTTCCTAAACAACAATAAAAATATGAGCACTAGGTTATGTGAGACAAAAACTCCTGGGAATGTTGTTTCGCTTTTAGGCGTTCGTTAAGAGGACCACTGATCATAATGAATATTGTTTTATGCTAATACACGTTTCGCTTCCTAACATTTTAATAAAAAATTGACTCAAATGAAAGAATACTATGCTTTTCGAAATTTCTGTACCGATCGAAGTGAATTAGCGTTTACGCTTAGTTTGCCTTAGAATGTTAGACTGGTTCTAACATATAAGAATGAAAATAAGTATTCAAAAAATACTTTGAGAAACCACTCATATGTTGAAGATATAATGAAGACGCAGTATTAACTTGGATCACTAATTCAAACAAATATACAGCAAAGTAATTAACTGTCAGTGTTCAATATTCATGTGAATCCCATTGAAGCGATATAGCAACTAAGACATACACACTTGCGCCAGCTTTATCGGTGTTCAAAGCTGATCAAATCACAAGAAGTACAGATGCAGAATTTCCATGAAGTCACTTTTAAAAAACATTTAATTTGGGAAAAATACATGGCAAAATATTGACCGGAACTATCACAGAGAATGATTTGATTATATAATTCTTCTGAGATATGTGATGTTAGGCTTCGTCATCACCCAGTTTGAAAATAACCTCATTTTGTGATTAATCGAAAGACTCATAAAACGACTGGACAACATGCTTGAAGATTAAAGCAGTTTATTCTTCTCAAATAACCGAACACAAATGAAAAAGTGCCAGTCAATACTTTACCAATTAAATACAGAAATATAAATAGGTAGTGATCTCTGTGAGAATTACTTGAACTCTGATCAGATAAAAATGCCACTGTTTACCTATACTAAACTGAAAATAACCTTAACTACTTTCATGGATATTTTTGATAAAAACGACTACTTTTACACGGATTGACCAATCAGTAGTAACCAATTCATGTTTATCGAGTCCTTAGTACTGATCGAGTTCTATCCATCAATAAGAAACGTAGAAATAGTATAAATGAATTGAAATCAGTCACACTGTTTTGATGTTAATTAGTTGTAAGTAGTTGGCAAGAAACCCTTTGATGTGCAATAACTTTACACCATGAAAGAACAATATTCATGTAAAAAATATGTAAAATAAGGATAATAAGATATTGACAAATCTCAAAAAGTAAAGTTTGTAAACACTATCATCTAGTGTCGAAGATGTTTTTCATGCTGTCGTCATATTAAGAGCCCACAAAATACAAATTAAATAATCCAAATATTTGGTCAAATATATTCAAAGTTTTTGGCATAAACCAGTCAACGGAAAAAAAATTTGAAGAGTTTTATGAAACGAACGACCAGAAATACAAAATATGATTTACACATTTCAAGACATTATGTATCTTAAACTGAAATTAAATATTACCAAGACCTACGTCCTGAGCAAACGCTTTGATGAAGGTGAAGCAACAAGTGTTAAATACTTATTCACTTTTTTTATCTCCAAAAGTTCCTATTTATATACAAAATATGTTTGTTATCAGGTTAAGACAAAATATTGTTAAAACTAATCAATACAACTTTCTTCAACAAGTACATTTTTGTTTTAGGGAAATGAACAATCTAGTCTTAACGCGATTTATCAAGGTAGTTGACTGTCCTACCTATCAGCATTGATAAATCTTCCTGAAGGAATTATATAGGAATTAAGTCCAGTAGTTAAACTATGCCGTTTTTCTTAGAAAATCAAGAATTTTCAATATGGTATATAAACTATTCAAATAATAGTATCTACACCAGGTTACATACCATGAATAGTAAATATCACAATAGTTATGAAGTAATTACCAAATAAATTCCTTACCACTGAAAGATTGCGCTTCTTTAAAGAACCACCAAGAGTAAAAGTTTGATTTGGATTTTCATTTACACTCATTTGATTAGAAGAGGGTTTACTGACAACTTTATGCAGACCGATATCACCGTCTGTGCTGTCAAAGGGAAGCTGTCGTCTGTCAGTTACTTCACTTGGAATAGAAGGAACATCCACATCTGTGACACTGGATACTGCAGAAGACAACCGTCCATCTCCAGGACAATCAGGCAAATCTACTTCATCATCTCCAAACAAACGCCGTGGTAATGCTTGTAGACTGGCATATCTTAATAGGGGAGGCCAAACACCAGCTGACCTGTCAATTTCTTCTCGAATTCGCTCATAAGCTTTGCGTTCCACACGTCTTGATTAGATCATAAAAGTAATATCGCGTTAAATATTTTGGACATTTTAAAAACACTTTACACGATAAGTGAACATTATAGAAAGTATTCAAAGCTTTACACGTTTTCAAAATTTAATGAAAATTGAGAGAAAAAATTACTTTACAGTTAGTATTTTATCATTGCTGTGCATTATTATATATATAGACTAACTGCAAATGGAATTCACATTTTCCAGATGAAAAAAGTCAATGAATACAGCCATTAAATCTAGTAATATCATGAAGTTATTTTGATCAACAAATTTCTTAGATGATCGACGAACTCCAGGGAATCCTTTACACTGTACCTAAAAATTTCTCTGTTTAACGCCTTGAGAATTTATACTAGCCAATTCACTGTTGTAAAATAGTCTAAGTTATTCATATCTCTGACGGGTCGAAGGAAGGTACATTTTCCTCAGACCATGTAGCTTCAGTGTTATTATTTCTACAGGTTTCGACATTTGGAATGTTTCCGAAATAAAAACTTTGCAAGGAGTCTATTAGTTGTTTCCAGTCATTGAACAAGACTGCTAACCTGTAACTGTAAAATTGAAACTAGTCTATGTCACAGTATATTTATCTTATCGAAAATTAATTGGTTTTAGAGGTTTATTACTTGTTTAAAATGAAGTATGAAATACTTTAATGAAGAGTATTTTAATAGATCTAAGAGACTTTTTAACCGAAATAAAATGACGGATACAAATGTTGAAGTCTTATCGACAAGATGACAACTGATTCAAAGATTCAAAACATTTTACATTCATTTGAGACCGAGAAATTAGCATTTATAGTAGCATTTTATTTAATTTGAATTCAGTAGTTTGAGAGTTCTTTGATTCAGTTCGTTCAAATAGACTGTTATAAAAAATCATCTACGCCGTTTTGCAGTACATTAGTTTTTTCGCCAAAATGCTGAATTTATAAACTAGATTCTGATCTGTCAGTCAGCTTGTGTAGTGTTGATAGTATGAGCGATAAATCTGTACAATATGCGTCAAGTTACTTTGAAGCATTTTCGATTCCAAATAAAAATTTCTCCTGTTATTCACGATGAACAAAAGTGTTTCACCTCGGTAACCCCTCGGCAACAATAGAAACAACAGGAACTATTAGAAGATTCTCAGATCCGTGAAATCAAAATTACGCTATTTCGCTGTTTATTGGTTTTTCAGAGAAAATAACACGCTTTATCGAAGACAGCCATAAATTCCGTAATGATGACTCATGTACATCATATAAATACTGTCCAAACATTTTGATTTCACACTAAGCATCCTTTAAAAAGTAAAAATAAATTAATGTATATGAAATACCCCTACTTCTTCTTGATGCATTTATCACATGAATCGAAGTCGTACAAAGCTACTATGTATGGTGTGACTAACCTTGGAAATAGCGCTCGACCAATGCGACGTATACGACGTCGAAAAGAGACTCCATCAACAATTGATTCAACAATATAACTAGCCACGAAATTCGCCAAAACCATGGAGTGTAAAATGAGTATGAACCAAATAGAAGGAATCCGGACTAACTATAATCGATAAAAACAATTTCAATATATGCGACTCTGAAAATATCCTCATATTTTATAAACGATTTTCATTGTAACTGAAAACATAGTGACTGAATATCTTAGTCTTCTTGTTTAATAGTTCTAATCTAACTTTGCAAATAATAAATCATTTCAGAGAAGAGAATAAATACAGAAATACCATTGACTATGTGGCTATCAGTATAATGTCGATTGCCCTATAACAAAATCTGAATTGAATGAAAAGAGGACAAACTAAACTCTTCAAAACTGATTTATTAACGAAACTCACTAGAAAACATATTTCATTACCATTGATTTGAATAACAAATGGTTATACAACTATGATAATACTTGAACAGCAGTCCATTATATCAGAAATACACTAGTGGATCAAAACGGTTTATTACACATGGTTTGGAAAAAGCCTGTTCGGTCGAAAATCGAATAAAAAATTACGTATTAATGATGACGTCTTACTGTCATGTTGTTACAGTGAAGTTTGAACCTTTGGTCACGCGAACAAGAAAGTTTTTGTACAACGTGATAAACAATCAGAATGTCTATGTATTACGTTTAAATTGACAAAGGCTTATGCACGTTACAAAGTGGAACTTTAATTAACATTCAAACTTCTTTGTTTGGTAAAACAAAATCACATGTTTAACTGCTTTAGAATCATTTCAAAGGGTTACTTTAAGCAGCTAACATTACTATTTTCAAACACGAACAAAGGTATTCGGTGAGTTTTATCGGCATAAAACTACTTTCTTCTGAAAAACAGATGAAGCCACGTAAAAAGGGAATTCTTCATGACAATTTAAATATTCACTGGTTCAAGATAAAAATTTTCACAAACAGAATTCACCAACATTTTGTTCGCTATCTAGTGATTAAATACATAAATTTATGCAACTTTCACTCATTATGTCAATTCAATGTAACCACAACAACAGTTTTCATTTTGAAGAAATGTAGTAAATCATTTTATAAGTAACATAAACGTCTTAATATATATTTAAAACAAACAAACAAACAAACAATAAAGTCCTTTAAATTAAGGTGTTTAAGTAATTTAAATGAGGTAATTTTGTCAAAAAGACGTTACATCAACTAGTGATGATTGTGCTAGATCACATTCTCTATGAATTAATTATTACGAAATTATACTTTCATTGTCAATAATGAATTGTAAGATTATTAGCAAAACGAAAATATAGAAGATACCAGGTTTAGACACGATTTGAGAATTCACAAAGTATACTATTAACGGTAATGACCTTTTTCGAATCGGTAATATTTAACAAACATTTCAATAAGGAAGCAGAACTGTAGATAACAAAATTTTTTGAGAACTAAACGCGATATTTTAAAATGGAGACTGGTATAACAATTTCTTTTTTTAGGTAGAAAGAATTGGTTGGAAGGATCAACATAGGAAATCGTAGTCATATGACGTATGTGTTAACACATGCTGAATAGTATGGTTTTAAGAAACAGAATGAATAATAATGTATGCTGAACATGACGTAATTACTGTAACTCATCATCCTAGAGATTAATGATCGAGTGCTCAGAGCTATGATTGTTGAGTACAAATACCAGCTGGAACAGTGACTATCCATCAAATATACCAACACTTAAAACATAACAGTTTAGCAAGAGGAAAAGAGATTGTTTTATTTTTTACTGCTAAATACAATTTAGTAATGACTGAAAGGCAAAGCTCACTCAAACAATGTTTGAGATTTCAGAGTGATATTCTTTATTGAAATTAAATATGAACAGTAAAACTTAGCATATTTTGAGCACAAAGCATTCTTCCATTTACAATAAAAGATGAATTTTATTGGTGACTGAGTACCAGTTGTGCATGAATATCAACATTTGTATGAGAAAATAATCATTTATTCATAAATTACAACAATATGAAATTGACCTACAAAAAACAAAAACTTATTTAAAAATGGTGCTCGTCAATGATTAAGAAACAGTATTAGAATTCAAAGCAAATGGTAATGCGCAAGTGATGATTCATAAGCCTATGCCCCTAACTAACACTACGGATTTCCATCACTGTCAGTAATGTCTGGAATTTATGGAACATACACATCAATATCTGCCCATGAAAAGTGGGATCTGCTTCATCACTCTGTCTTATGGGATCTGTGAACATACTCCTAGGTCATCAAAAGGAATATTGTTTGTGCTTATGAGCAGTGGTGGGTAAGGAAAAAAATAGAAGAGAAAGGCAGAGAAGTTGAGAACTTGTAGGAAACTGACCCGAGTCAACAAGGGAATGGGTACGAAAAGCTAGTTATTTGTCATAATATTTCGAAAAAGACAAAACTGAGAAGATCGGAAGGATTAGCAAAAGATTGTTAGGAACAGTTCAAATAGCCTCCAGCTATTCTTCAGTTACACACTTTTCATAAACAACGTGAATGAGAATAAGCAGAAGTCCCCCAGATCTTAGTGGGATTTAAAAAACCATTCCTAACTTGGAGTAGGAGAGACCAGAAGAAACTGATAAGTGAACTCCAGAGGTTCATAAGCATGGTTGTTTAGTTTTAGCACTTAAGTGCTAGCCAGCGACTTGGAGTTGGATGTAATCCCATGTAACCGGTTTTGATCTCAGATAAGAAGGGACTGAAATTCTTTTGTGCAAAATTAAGAGGAATCGGATTGACTGGCATGGTGTCTTAAAGTATTAACCCATATAATCACTCGGTTTTAATTTGCAACCTATGAACAGCAAACTGAATAAAATTAAACTAGTTTGAGAACCAATAATCAATGTATCGGTTAAATGTAGATAAATCACCACGGTATGGAAAGAAAAATGCCGAATTTAATTGTGTTTCTTTACTTCTGCTAACCATAGGGCCAGTTTACGGAGTGACAGTCTTTTCTGAATTGCTCTATGGCTGTGATACATAGCCTATAAAAGTAGAAGACATGCATAGGCTACAGACTTTTGATTTTGGTTATCTTCGTTTCAGTGTCGCATTTTAATGGGACGATCGAGTGAGCAATAAAAAGGTTAGGCATAGAGTATAAGACAAAGATACCAATAGGTCAATAAAATTGTAGATCTTCATCGAATGAGGTGGCTGGTATACATATTTCGTATGAACAGCTATCAACTATCTCGAACTCTAATGTTATCTGAAGTAGGAGTGAACCAGAAGAAAGCTAAAGGCTGCCAAACCTAGACAGGGTGTCAGAAAAAGAAATTATTGACTGTTGATATGAGCATTGTTTGCAGTAATGGTAAGAAACGTTGGATAAAATGGTTCAGAATTAGTTACAATGGAAAGGATCTATTCACTTCAAATTCTCTAGGTTCTGAATCTCAGTATTCCCCCAAATATAGATTCCCACTCAGTCTTTCCAAACCAAGTTCTCAATATTTAGTTCTACTCATTACGATCGATACTACATTATCGTTATAACGGAATGAACATCAAGAAAAGTTGAACTTTTGGACCGATCCTATCTGAGGTTACTGTTTACATTTCGGTCGCATGATTATTAAATACATAAACTGTTGTATTTTGGTATTCGCCGAATTACAAGCTTTGACGTGATGTATAAAACAATGTGTTGTGCGTTTGTTAAACTACTGTTACTTGATTAAGGACCAATCATTGAGATTATATTTTAATTTCTTAGTAGTGTTGATATGTGGTCAGGAAGCAACTATATATTGTATGATTCGACGTTATCTGTTTGCTGCGTTGTGATCTATTCTGACTATCAAGTGAGCAAGAGTGAGAATATGCATTCTGTGTCAATCTTCGTTAAGTTTTATTGTCCCAGACTTTATACTGATTATGACTGACCCAAATAAAAATTATAGCCGGTATTGAAACCAAGTTACTTGTATACTACTTCAGGTGAAACGCTAGTCTTCCGTAAACTTACTTGTAAAAGTTCAACTATCCAATTAGCAGGATAAGTTGTCAAGTAAAGACTTAACGCAAAACACATCAAAATATTCAGCACAAATGCATCTATTGAAATAAAACACAAGGGAAACAAAGATTAGTGTATTGTAAATCTTTATAAATGTTTAGAGATCAAACAAGAACATATGTGTGTGAAGTAATTCGTGGAATCATTCAAAAGTGGATACTATAGTCAAACACGGATTATATAACCATAATTGGAAATTCAAATAACACGCTGATTAGTAAGAAGCAGCCAGTTTATATTCATCGAATAGTGTTTTAAAACTATTGACATAGTAATGAAATGAAAATTTCATACAATTAACTAGTCCGAGTTACATATGTAGATTACTTGGTAAATGTTATATTAACTAAAGAACTACTAAGTCCCCATGAATATAATTCAAAGAAACGTTGTGCGATGGAAATAGTTTGAAAACGCATCAATTCAAATGGTGTGAATTTCCCCAATTCGTTTGATGAAATAATTTCTACCTGAACTAAGTAGTGTAGCAACATCTCTGCATAATAACCTAGAGATAAAAAGAAACCGAATCTAAGATAAAACCGGATAATTATGTACTAATTAGTTCCATTGGATAAAGAACAACAAACAAGTGTTAACATTATCATCACAAAGGGATCGTTGTATGTTAAATTATAAGTTGAAATCTCACTACCGCAGTGGTACACCCAGTAAATTCACGTTTTTAATACCTAACAATCTATGTCATTAATAAACAACAACTTACAATTCGTTAAGAATGATTTACGATATGGTGCTCCTTTTGAAAAGGCAATGGCCAAAGTTATATATTGGTAGGTGGAGACTATAAATACTGATGTACTTTCATAGGTTCGATATTCGGATGTATTAGGATACAAATATAACGGCATATACCTATTAAAAGAATGATCAAAGAATGGTAAATTTCCTCAATGTTACAAACAGATCGAACAAAAATTTAAGAGTAAATGATCGAAGGTTTACGTCTGTGAAAAATAAATCGACCAATAATTCACTACATTCAAAACAATTCAAAAATATTTTTCTTACTTGGTTTACACATCACACCATAAATTTTAGGAAAAAGCATATCTCATAAAGGCAAAATGCATGCATAAACCAACTTCGATCAAACGTTAAACTCAGCTTTCGTTCAATTTGTAAGCTAAG